GGCTCACCGTTTCTCAGACTTTTTTGCCTTCGCTCAGGAAGGAGGGCTCCAGAGCAGGGTTCCCTCTAAGCCGAGTCAGTGTGAGCCAGCTCACCGTTTTTCAGCCTCCGGCTCACAGATTTTTTTGCCTTGGCTCAGGAAGGAGGGCTCCAGAGCAGGGTTCCCTCTAAGCCGAGTCAGTGTGAGCCAGCTCACCGTTTTTCAGCCTCCAGCTCACAGATTTTTGCCTTAGCTCAGGAAGGAGGGCTCCAGAGCAGGGTTCCCTCTAAGCCAAGTCAGTGTGAGCCAGCTCACAGTTTTTCAGCCTCCAGCTCACAGATTTTTTGCCTCCCTCAGGAAGGAGGGCTCCGGAGCGAACTCAATTCAATGCAATTCAAATACCTTTTATTGGCCTACAATCTTAGAAGCGTTTACCAATAATGCAATCCAAAAAGAAATTATAAAACAGATAGTCGTGGCTATGTCAGGCCTCACTCAAGTTGTCACAAGCTAGATTTGACAATATACAGTAAATAGTTACAAGAATGGGCACAGTGATGAGACAAATGAAAAACGGAAAAGAACTGTGACAATTTAGCGCTTAATAATATATTCATAGATCATAATATACAATAACAAAAATATAAATAGTAAATGTAGTAAACGGTGGTCTCCGGAATGATGTGCCGTTTCGAAAATGATCTTCTTCTGAACAAGGAGGTGTACATAAACTGTCCTTCAACAATTCATTTCTCTTGGTGACGTATTGACAATATACTGTTGATTCGAAGCTATGCTTGCGGCTATGTTCTTCAATGGGCTATGGTTGCTGAATGCCTTCAGGCATAACCCATTGAAGAATGTAGCCCATTGAAGAACATAGCTGTAAGCATAGCTTTATGATGAAGTGAATCAACAGTATATTGTCAGTACGTCACCAGGAGAAATGAATTGTTGAAGGACAGTTTATGTACACCTCCTTGTTCAGAAGAAGATCATTTTCGAAACAGCACATCATTCCGGAGACCACCGTCTACTACATTCACTATTTATATTTTTGTTATTGTATATTATGATTTATGAATATATTATTAAGCGCTAAATTGTCACAGTTCTTTTCCATTTTTCACAAGCTAGATTTGACCATACAAAAGATGCCTGAATCATAAAATAAATTGGCCTTCTAAACTTTTAAACTTAAGTTTTTAGACTTATAAATTAAGAATCATTAATATGGTCAGGGTCACTCTTCTGTTTTATA